ATTTCCTCTCGCGTTTTTTTCCTCTCTCACAATATTTGGAAGTCTTTGCAATTTTCACTCGAAAGCCCATTTTTTTCTTGCTAGCGTTTGGTATATTAATAACGTGTGTCGTGTGCACTGTCTTTTCTTGTTTTTTTTTTTCTTAATTTGTATGCACGCATGAGGAAAACGTGAAATGTCTTTCGATAATAATGTTATTTGTTTTCCTGAAGTGTTTTTTGTTAATTTAAAATAATTTGATAAATCACGCAAACGCCTTTTGGTTAACAGTTTTTAGAGTAGGCAGGCAATAGGTGCTGGAGAATTTATTTCTAGCAATCTTTTTCGTCTGAAGTATGGAGTGTAATTATACATTGTACATTCATAATCCCACAAAGTCTTATAATAAGTGTATGAGTAGCATAATCTGAAAGTGATGCATTATTGATTGCTTACTGGACTGACTATATTTTGCCGATTCCAGTTTATTAGAAAAATAACTGCTCAGACATCATTGAACAAGGGATAAATTATTGACAGAAAGATAACAGTCTGTTTTGTTGCGCTATTTTCTACGGAGATATGAATTAAAACTACGAAATATATATCTTTTGAAACTTAAACATGGAGGCCTAGAAGTCCGAACTAGTCACACAGAAATAAGAGATCGATTCTGAATGGTTGAATTAATTAATGAAATTTTAAAGATTTCGCATCGAATTGCCGCATATATGCTGTCTCGTTCCATAAAGTTTTCCAGTGTGGTACTTCGTATTATTTGCATAAATTATGACCTTTGGAAACTGTTCCTACTTTTTCATTTGAATATATGTACACAAGACGCGATATGTTTCAATGTGTATGTATGATGTGAAAATAAAATCTCTACTAATTTCATGTTATTCAAGGCAATTTTTGATATGCAAGGAGGTGCTTAATCAAAATCGCGAAGTTTTCAGAATCGAGGTTACTTCCTAAAACAAAGATATGAAGCGATATCTCGGTTTCAAACCCGAAGATATGCACGTGTTTTACAATGGAATGAAAATGTCTAGTCCCGTAAGTACAATAATTTTAGTCTGAAATTAGTAAAGTAAATCTTGGAGAAATGGACAATTATTGTTTCAGAAGTGGACGGGAGTCTGACATTTCACCGGAAAGAAGAGTAGGGAGCTTGCAATATATGATCAGTAGACCTCTAAATAAATATCAGTTTAAGAATTGGTTTAAATTAATTCACGAAGAAGCTTCTGATTATAATCCGAAGAATGTTGAAATGTAATTGCGAAAAGCATTTCAAGTCATCGTTAGATTAAGGTGAAATATATCTTTTACAACAAAAAAACCAAGCAAAATGTATAAAAGTTAAGTAATAAAATTAAGCAAATGGAAATTAACAGTTACTGAATGTACATATCACGCGTACTTCAAACCGTTATCAGAACAAGAATTATCATACAAGAAAGGATTCAAGTAAAATTTCCTTTTTCATTCAATGATGACGCAATACCCTGGGGATTTCGGTATAGATCAAATTTTCAATCGTAAAAATACGGTATAAAAATTTACATGCGTGTAGAAAAATATCCTATTAAATGAAGATTCCTGCAATGAATCTCAAAGCTATGGTAAAAGATGAATCTCAAAGCAGTAAACGCTCACAACGTTTCGGTTCCCTGTCCTTCCAATAATGAGTGTGTAACATAGAAGAAAATATGCAAAATCATTAATTTTAAATGAACGGAAGAAAATCTGTACAATTCCCAACATAATCAAATGAATTTTATGTCATTATTCTATCAGCTTAGCCTTCCCTCGACTAAGATTCCGAGCTGGAGATGTTTTCTATAATTCAAACAGCTTGTGAGTATAAAATTATTAAACATTTCGAGCAAAACTGCTGTTGAAAATTGTGTAACTGTACTACAATTATAATAATAACAATGATATGGTATAACATTATAAAATACAGTTCATTTGAATTAATGAAAAGCAACTGCTACCAAAACAATCTTTGTTCCCAAATGTATTATATACATCACCACTCAGTAGCAGTGCAATTGCCAGACGGTACACAACAAACTTGCTGTACAACAGAGAGAGTTGCCTGTTCACGATGATTTAAATATTCCAGTGTGACTGATATGTCAAACTGCATATTAACATAGAGTGAAGTTAATCGCGAAAATGGTGCCTGACAGTATTCCCTACAAAAAAAATGAATTTTTTTAGAAATAAATTTTAGAAAATTTCTAAACAATTTTTAGAAATAAAAGTGCAATAACTTGCAAAATAAAAAGAAATAATAATGTCACTTGAATTCATACAAAATTGAATAAAAAATTTTTCTAAATAAAATTCATCCTAAGACTTTGAAAATATTTGATACAAAAGCCTTATTAACGACTTCATAACGAATCTCTTAAAAAAAAAACTTACGCGACACCACCTTTCAATGTCACCGTACTATTGAACAATAAAGTCTGATCTCTTCTGGTTCTCGGTCCAACATATACATCAGTAGTGTTGCCACCAACACCAATGACATCTGTTGACCAAGGTTGAAACTTCGACAAGATTGTAGCCGATGAATTTAGTACTTTTACAGAATAGTAATTTGCATTGGATATATTGAACTCGTTCTATAACAAATTCTCAAAGACATAAAAATTTTAAGAGCACATATATAATGTTTATATGCAGATTTGTGCAGTGAAATTTTTTGAGATGAAGAAATTTTTCAAAAAAATGAACAGCTTACAATAATTTAAACTGCTCATCCTCAAAAAACTGACAGGTGGATGATTTAGAACTATTGCATTACAAAAGGCCCCCTTGATATATAATACAATTCAGTTACACTGTCATTCAAAATCATGCAAACTGTAATCAGGTAGAGTAATGTGTATATTATGTAAATGGATGATTTTAAAATATTAAACTGCGGAAACAAACGGAAATGAAAGCTTACAAGCTATCCAATTATTAACAATTATTAATAAAAGCAAATTTAAACATCACCATGAAATGAATACTAATATGACTTTCGTCATGCTGAAAAACTGTTATGATTTCAATTGGTGGTCTCGTACTACTTAAATAAATTGCACGTGGTACCAATAAGAAAATCACAACACCTGCCAATGAGAGACAGGCAAGAACGACGCAGAAAACATAAAGCCAGCTGAAACGAGGGAATGAAATTGGAAATTGAATTATTTTGGCACTAATTAATACCTTTAATGAATTTTCTTATTTCTTCCAACTAAGAACTGACAACTATTAATAAATAAATAGCAACTTACGTTCTTTTCGGTTTCAAACGATCATCATTAACTGGAATTAAAGCTACCAATGTTTCTTCCAATTCTGAAAAAATGATTTTTATCACTTTGTTCCAAATGAAATATCGACAAATTTTTCCTATAACAAACAACTTCACCAAACATTTCTCTTAATGATGATCGTTTAAACACATTTCTCTTCAATATAGAATGATCAATAAAAAACAAGAAGCTAAGGTCTTACCCTTCGGGATTCGTCCAGAGCCCTTACAACTTGGACAAGGCACTGAACCTCCCATCAGTTCAGTGTAGCCCATGGAGTTGGTTCTTGATGGAAAGCCACATTCGTTTGTAAGATTTATTGTAGAACCAAACGATGAACAACCGCCACTAGTGGAAACACCACTAACAACACGACGATGCACCTTATCTACTAAATTTTTGGTACCTTCGATGATTGAATGCATGATTCACGCTCCCCCGTGCAAACTAGTAGCAGCACTTCAACATGGAGAGATGAGAGAAACTATTTCTGCAAAACAAATTACATACTTATTATTTGTTTCAAACAGCATAAACCTTGCAGGGATCGAAAATTTCCTGAAACAAAACCAGGAAAACGAAGCAGCATGCAATGTGCAGTACTTTGCAGGATTCTACACCTTATTGTAATAGCGAAACAAAGATAGATCACACGAATCAGAGGATGTATTTAATATCCAAGAACTTTGATACACATCAATTATATAATAAATGTTTTACTGCATGTAGAATTATTGTTGAATAAGTGAAATCACAACTTTGCATCACTAATTACTCATTTCAATTGAAGCTAACAAGATCAACAAACATAAAAAAAATTAAGCAATTCAAAAGAACAACTATCGAAACATCTTGCTGGTTATGAAGAGAACTAAAAAAAGGATGGTACAGAAAACATATATCCATGTGATTTCTGGAGAGAACTCAACTTTTTTGTGTTCAAACGGACTGCATTTCCAATGAAATGCACCGGCCTCAAAAACTAGTCACCCATGCATTCTGAAAGTACTTGAACACACGCTTTCCGAAATAAGGCCTATACAAATAGTTTCTTTAACATTTTAAATTTCTCCGAAACATAACTTTTGTTTGAAAAATATTAAAACACTAAATCGATATTTGGAAGCAACAAAGAAACAATCTATAAACACCAAAATATTTACCAGATAATTGCTGTAGAAGTCTTATTAAATATAAAATCTACATATTCAATGGTTTTAGAAGAAAAAAGTGCTCATCAGGTAAATAACTTTTTTTTAAGATAACTTTTTTTGTTGTTAAAGATTCATTTCAAGTTAAAATTATAAACAATCGCACCCTCATCCATATTATCAGTGCGAGTAATAATTTTCTAGTAATAGAAGTACATGAGTAATAATTTTCTAGTAATAGAAGCACATTGAAACACCTACAAGACTGATTACTCCTCTTCTACGCATGCTCTCTATTTAGAAATAAAAGCTATAAAATGAAAAGCACTTAAAAGAATTTAAAGATGAAATAGAAACACATATAACAAAAAAGGAAGGAAATCTTTCTATATTACAAATAATGATTTCAGGTTGTTGTTAATAAACCGGCGTTAATACCAAAATATAAAAGAAGATGAAAATTTAGACATAATCTGACGAAGTCGACAAATTATGCAGATTATACAAGGTTTCATATATGGTGATACATCAAGAAGCTAGCCTTCTAAACATGCGCCACGTCCTCGTCACTAGAAGCCGCATGAATATTTCCTCGATATCGTAACAAACTTCCAAATTTTGTTTCCAAAAGTTCAGACAATATTCCCGGTGCTGATTCATCGTAGATCACATCACAGAGAGGCAGTAACTGCAGAATCATTATTTGAATGTGCAATTTACTAAATGCTACAAAAAATGAGACAATTTTACAAAATTGAGTTATGAACGCAAAAGAAACCGCGACCCTAGAATTTTTGAAAACGGAAATAGAAAGTTTTCCATGTTCTCAATGATTCAAAAATATTTTGTTTAACTTGATATGATGCAGTGAAAAAATATAATCAAAAAAGGAGAAAAAGTATCACTGACCTGAGAAACAATGAATATTGATGTATACTGTTGCAAAGACGACTGCGGAGCACTTTTCAAATGATTCAAATATTCACTCCAAAGTTTTACCATGAATGAGTCCGTGAGATAGCGTAAGTGTGAAGATCTGGAGAAATATTATCATTTCCTTCCAAAAATATAAAAATGGAGATTTCGACAATTAATAGAATAACTCTACAAAATCACGCAAATTTCGATAAACACTTCAAAATTACGTCATTCTAATAAAATGACCTTAGCACTGCAAGATCTCGAGCCAATACATAAGCAACTCGGGAAAAATGACAAGCATTCTGGGTAATATTGATGGAAGATCGCTGCGTAGTAGATAATGCCCAATCAATTGCGAGTCCTATATCAGACATTTCCTCTATAAAACGATTCACGTTCGACTCACTTTCCATATTGTATGCTCTCCAACGCTCTTCCTAAAAATGTTCATGACACGAATGTAAGAAACTGTATAATGTGATCATTTATAATATATGTTAATTTTATACAAAGAATTTTGGGAAAAAGTTTAACTTACTGGTGGAACATTTTGTTTACTTGTTTGAATAAAAGGAAGAATTAACATAAAAAATTAACAGGTTTAAAATTGAAAAATCAATATTTGCTTGAAAAGGACAAACATCACTGATATCCTCTTAAATCCTCTCAAAAGATAGCAATGTGTCCACTGTCGTTCGATGAAGAATGGGTAAATCATACTTTAACAAGTTGTGAAATAGATATATAAGATACTAAATATGAATGCAGAAAAAAATTTTCCAAAGTCATCGTGGAACCTACCGAAATTCGAAGACGAATTGATTCAATAATGTTCGTGAAATTTGTTTCAATTGCAATCTTAAGTGATGGTGCAAGTAGACGATGTACTTCAAAAGACAAATCAACACCAACTGCAATTAAACTGTCGCAGTGTGTCATCAATATTCGCCAGGTATGAGCAACCACTGCCATTGTTGGTGCTACCTAGAAAAAAGCAAACAAGGGTTGTTTTTAACATTTCCCTCTCTTCTTGAACTACACTGAAATAAATCTTGAAGCACACAAACTGAAAGCGTTTGTATGCTTTAAGACAAGAATTTTCTTCTTTTAAAACAAATGCTATTTAATAGTAATATGTTTATGCTTAAATGATAGTACCTCGATTACATGTCTTCGTATTAAAGAGAGCATAACGCTTAATTCTCCAGAACACCAATGCAATATAAGAGAAAAGTGTTCAGGCTGCATCAAAAATTCCTTAATAACGTCTGATATAACATCCAGAAACTGTTGCGATAACTGTCGTACATACGACAACGGTTCTTCGCTCATTGTTAGTTCTCGAGTAGTCGCTCGTAACTGAAAATAAAAAGGAAAATTTATGATGAAATGTCATTTCTGATGAAACTTGTGGTTATCTGAATTAAACTTGATTCATTATAACATTTGATTGATTTCAAGAAACTTCATAGTTCCAATCTTCATAAAGAATAGCAGTAAATTCCCTTTTCTTATTTCAAATTGAAGTTTCTAGTCCTTTTCCTATCCTATAATTTTCAATCATGAGTTCAGAGAAAAACTGAATCATGATTGAAAATTATAGGATAGAAAAAAGATTAGAGGTTCCTTACATTCTTCACGAAATGCAGAAATGTAAAGACCTGCCGTAGTGAATAACATCTTATAACGAAATAACTGTTAATGAAATAACTATCCAATAAAACTCTTACCAAAGTACATTAGTGATGGCAACTGTAAAATCAAAGAAAATCAGGATGCCATAGATTTTCTCATCTTTAAATTATCCAATAATGTCATTTTTCAAAAAAAAAATGTTTTCACAGTTTGATCTCAAATGTTTATTTCCACTTCCCGTCAGCTCATAACTGAAAAAAAAAGAATAACATAATCAAGTAACTAACCACAGTGCTTCTTTTTCTCAAGTAAAGGTCAACTGCCTGTGATGCTCGGCCAAGAATCGTCAGAAGATTGATTGCTTTCTTAACAGCTCTAGGACCACCATGTAAAGCACCTGGGCGACGAACCTAAAATAATGAGATATAAAATTTAGTGACAAAGGTGAATTTCTAGATATCAACTTTCTAAAAGTATTTCAAGTCATTGATGAAAAACTTTCTTCATTCTAATAAAATCACCTTGCCTCTTCGCTAAGTAACTGCACAATTTGAGTTTCACGAAGTGTCAACTGCGCATCGATTGTTGCTTCTCGTGTGTTACAACTTTTCCATTCCATTATCAATTCCACCTAATGCACAGATTTAGTCTTTAAAGTACAAATTTAACATCTAAAGCATAAGTTTATCTATTCCAATCTTTTAATTTCGAATAATCTATATTTCTCCAAATTAGCGGTTTTAATCTCACTTATTCACAAGATTCTAATACTTCAAGCAATCTGTAACATGTTTTTTATGAACTTGGAAGACTACCGCGTGCTCCATATCTCGATGAGCGATGCAATCGTCCAACTCTGCAGGTAATTCATTGAGCCATGCACTTTCATCAGGTGATTTAGTAGTAGCCGATTCCGCAACAGGCATAAGTTCGCTAGCTATTTCCATCTTAGCTGACAAGTCTTGTCGGCGTTTCCCACGGATTGTTGCTTGACGTACCAATGATCCTTCATGAAGTAGTTCTCTTTTGGCATTTTCGATGCAATCCAACCATTCTTTTTTAATCCGGGCACTTTCAGCAAGAAAAATCCTGTGAGTTTTTTTACGATGAAATTAATTTCTTTTTTATATGTTGCGCTTTTTGCCTTTAAGGATGGAAAGCATTGAAAGACAAGAAGTGTTCTCACATTCAACTGAGCCTGTTTCACCTATTCCAATTTCCTCTTAACGTCTGCATGTATTTAAATAGTGACAGATTACTTTTGTCCTGGAAAAATTAACAGCTTGAACATGCTGGTCGCAGTTTCGCCATTTTCTCTGTCCTTGATATTAACAGCTGCTATATTGTTCAACGGATGTGAAGATTCCAACTGAAAACGGTACTTCCCTAAAAATAAAAATTTTTATGAATGAAAATATAAATTTGCAATCTCTCTCAACGAGATTTTATAAAGTAAAATACATGTATGAAATTAATGTTCACTTTATAACCTGAAGATGGTTGTCCAATGAGTAATCGATCTGACAACAAAATAAGCATAACATTGTGTTGTGGTCTCATGCTATCGCTGTCCAGCTGAACTACTTCACCATGCATGACCACTCGATCAGAATTCGGTAAATTATTTAACAAAGCCTGCAAATTTTATTGAAATGATGGTAGCAGATGGTACTACTGCCTACATAGAGCTGAAGACTTACAGCAATACCGTCCATTTTCTGCATCAATACATTCATTGGATTGACGCTGAATGAAGCAGTGTGAAGACTAGCAGTTCCAATTGAAGAACGATCTTCTCCAGTCATCTGCATCAATGTTTCAATAAGCATTCGCTGATCTGATAACAGTGATGAAAGTTCATATATTTCTCGTTCCAGATCTAAAAAATCGCAACTCTCAGAGAAAATATAGAGACTTAAGAAAATATATCAAACGAGAGGAAACTAATCTGAACAAAAACACAACTGAATTTTTTGGACTTATATTTGCGTTTGGTTGATATAAACTGTATTCGTATATAACATTAAAATTTCAACTAGAATTTGCAAAAACGACTTTTTAAAATGATAAAATAAGCTAAAATTCCATATTAAGTTAACGAAACCAAAATTCATGATTATACAAGTGAACGGTCAACGGATGAAAAAAGATTATCATATAGCTTGTACTACGTGCTGGGATATTTATCACCAAAACATTCAGCAAAAATCTATTCCGGAAAAAGCATATTCATATTCTTCAATCTTTTTAAAACGATCTTACATATTTGATGTATATCATGATAAAGACAAAGAATCTATCAGATTTATTTTGAAGTATATTTATGTTATGAAGAGACGTAACGTGAAACTTCTTTAGCGGTATCGATGAACTTTTTATAATTCAAAAAGACACTCTTCTTCATTGATTCAGATGATTGCGCATTGGCTGTATTTAACCTCGTACGAAATGCTTGCAACTGCCGTATTTCATCGCCACTTTTCATATCCTTTAACTGATCCCGTACATCTAAAACGATTAAAAACTGAAATTTCTTCTCTTCACTTCTACAAATGAAACAAGCTTGCTAGGAGTTTTTGAGTCGTCTTTAAAATCCATATTAAAATTATATTAGATGGATATTTAGTAAAAGAAATGAAGTGAGTTATACCTTAAAAGACAAACTAACCTACATCTATAGTATCAGAGGAAATCAGAAAATTTTACAACACATTTTAAATTAAAATTTAATAAGTTCAAAGTGTCAAATAAATATTCAAAAGATTTAAAGCAAAAATACCAACAAGATATTGCATCGAAATTCTCTTCACCGAACTCATCATCAATCATCGTACCTTCCGTAGCATTTGAAGATTTCATTGAAAACTAAATGGAATACTTTAAAAGCAGCAAAAGTAAATTATACGATCCATTCTTGAAACTCCAAATAACGAAGAAATAGAAGTGAATTAAGCATAGTGACCGGTGAGTATGAATCTTGTGTGACTGACCACAGCAAAGGTCATAATGACAAACGTGTATGCCACGCTAGACGAAGAGCCACTTGACCCGATCCCGTCACCCATACCATACCCACTCCTCTCCCTCTCCCCGCCAATTGGTCAACGAAGAATCACACGAACATCATTTTATGCTACAACACAAACAATGGTGGGCGGTTTTTTGAAATAAGCTTATTTGTGAGACAGTCATCTCCGATAGTTTGTTCTCGATAATTAAGGGATTGCCATCGGGCCGAACACTGAAAGACTAACTACTTGATTGGTCGATTGATTGATCCATTGATTGTCATCATTTCGGAATATTTTTTGTTCATTTCGAAGAATGATTATTATTTTTTTGTTGATTTTTTGTTGTTGTTGACTTACATTATGATAGGGAGGCAGCTGGACGAATGATTTCTTTTTTGAATTAACATTTGCAGCAATGGGTGTAAAGGATCTATCGAAAGTGATCGGTGATCATTCGCCGGGTAGTATACGACTGAAAGAATTTAAAGGATATTTCGGTCGCAAAGTAGCGGTGGATGCATCGATGTGTCTCTATCAGTTCCTCATTGCAGTCCGACAGGATGGATCACAACTTCAGACGGAAAGCGGTGAAACAACCAGGTTTTTTGATTAATGATACTTTTACCAAAAAGTGATAGCTGTTGGAAATTGGACTTATACTTGCCCGTCCTTATAGGTATCAAAGATCAGATGTTTATAATGCATGATGTATCGTTGTATGAAATGATTCTAATAGAATTAAAAAATACTCATGGAACAGCTTAATCTTATTCATTGTGAACTTTTTATTAATGCCTTGAAATTTAATCCGGAAAGCAAAAGCATTTCGTAAAATAAAGGCAAAGTGAATGAAACAAGTTTACAGCATGAGTTCATCATGTCGCTTTGTTGGTTTAGTTATTGTTTCTTTGGATTAGAAAAAAGTAATTTGCAGCAGATCAGTACTTAATTAAATTGCTAGTGAATTTTTTATTTAATTGAAATAAAGCATTATCTGTGAGAGAAGTAAAGATAACTCCAGTCACCTTCTTGGAATGTTTTATCGAACTATTCGAATGATCGATAATGGAATAAAACCAGTGTATGTGTTCGACGGTAAGCCGCCGAAGATGAAAACTAGTGAATTGGAGAAACGTACCGAGCGAAGAACCGAAGCGGAAAAGCAACGAAATGATGCAGTGGAATTAGGTGATGAGGCATCTGTCAACAAATTTGAGAGACGTCTTGTAAAGGTTAGTAGTTCCTTATTTTAAATTCTTTCCTTTATGGAGAAGAGTAGCTACTGGGATTAGTGAATGTTAATTCACATTCTGATATTCTTTATTGTATGTTCAAAAAATTCTTCATTGTATCCACTGTTTTGCTTATTAAGTAAAGGTATCATTGCTAGAAAAGTGAAACTATAAGCAGTAAGCGTTCAACAATAATAAATTGTTTTCTTATTTTTACTATCACAGAAAACTTATAATGTCGAGATGTTATTTCTCTTTAGTACTGTTGGGAGTCTATTTCGTATCAATTTAAGTCAGGTGCAAAAATTTTTGAATTTACAGTAAATTTTATCTATTGCTTTATAATTTCAAATTCAATCATAAATGTTGATAGTTTTCTACAACACATAAGAAGTGTACATGAAAACTCGTGAATACTGTATCATTATGTGAATCATAAATGTTGATTTCTGCAACATACAAGAAGTATACGTGGAACACTATATTTTTATTATTTTGGCCAAGTTTTCTGGAATTTCAAGGTTACAAAAGAACAAAACGAAGAAGCCAAACGATTGGTAACGTTGATGGGAATTCCAGTACTGGATGCTCCATGTGAAGCGGAAGCTCAATGTGCTGCTCTTGCGAAAGCTGGTAAAGTATTTGCTACAGTTTCGGAAGATATGGATGCATTAACTTTCGGTTCACCTATTCTTTTGCGTCAGATGATAGCAAGGTTAGTCAAAAATCAAAGAATGATTTGGAATATATTGAAATGTGATGGCTTGTGGTGAATGAAGCTTTAAAGACCCAAAAACTAGCTTCATTCAGGATAGAAATATTAGCTTCATAGCTGCAAATTATCAACTATCTTATTTGGTGTTATCCGTAATTTACAATACATAAAAATGAGATTTTACTGAAAATAAGCTTTAATAGTTTTCCATCATTGGTCGTGGGAAACAATCCGCTATCATACAGATTATCTTATATTTCTTATATCTATCAGATTATCTTGACTTCAAATTTTTATCAAGGCAATCGTGCATATTCTACAGTACCATCCTAAAACTCAATGAGTAAGTAATCATTTCTAAGCTTTAATGACTAATAATTCATAAATAGTGCCTGAAGTAGTTGAGCTGATTTTTCCAAAATATCGTGAGGTTTATTTCAGTGAAGCAAAAAAGCTGCCAGTGAAGGAAATGAATTTAAGTCAGGTTTTGAAAGATTTCGGAATGAATATGGAACAATTTGTAGATCTCTGCATTCTGCTGGGTTGTGATTATGTATCAACTATTCGAGGCATTGGTCCGAAAAAAGCATTTGAGCTTATCAAAAAATATGAATGCATCGAAAATGTTCTTGAAACAATTGATCAGACGGTTCGCAGCTTTTTGTTTATATATATTTTGAAATTATCTCTGTACTATTTTTTCATTACTACTATATTGACACATCGAGGAATACTTTCAGAAATATCCGATACCCCAAAACTGGCAATACAAGGAAGCACGACGACTGTTCTTGAAACCGGATGTCATGGACTGTGAAAATCTTGAAGTAAATAAAAATATTATGAAGACATTGTTATTTTTTCTTTTGCATTAACGAATAAAAACAGTTGAATTTCAGTTGGTTTGGAAAGAACCAGATGTCGAAGGAATTGTACAATTTTTGTGTGGTGAGAAAAGTTTTAAGTAGGTTTTTCAAATTTAATAAACTTTAATTTCAATTTTTTTAGAAAATTTAGAGGAAATCTCACTTGTATGTTCCGAACCCAACAGTCAACTGCAATTTCAGTGAAGACAGAGTGAGGGGTAGCTTAACTAGGATGCAGAAAGGACGTCAAGCTGCACAGCAAGCTCGTATCGACTCATTTTTTTCGGTGAGTAAAGTAGTTACTTCTGAAACAACGAAAAGGAAAAATGAAGAGGAGAAAAATAATCCAAAAAGACGAGGACCAAGCTTGGGCAAAAAAGTAAAAAAATGAATGATATGGTTGTGAACAAACGGCCATTTTTCATTCATCTTTTCCGGCAGATTTATGGAACGACTCCTCAACTTTTTCCTAATTTACAAACTATAATTGAAGTTGAAGTGTCATAGCCGCGATATCATGTTTTTCCGTATTGTTTGCAATTTCTCTCTCCGTCACCCTCAATTTTGGCCCTATCTAATGCACGCAGATTTCAAGAACTAAAAAATCATATGAAATTTACAATAACAGCAGTTCTTATAAGTTAATATTCTCTAGAAGGAATAGAATTTCAGTTTTTCATTCAGCTCTCATTTTTATATCACTTTTTTATAGTTAAGTCATACAATTGTTTTTTTTTTCGTTTTTTTGATTCCGTCATAATTAATTTCTGTGTACGGCACTGTGAAAACATTTTAGGCAATTTCTCAAGAATGTTTATAAATTAAAAATGTATTGTTCACTTCCAAGAGAAATATACTAATATGATTGATTGTTTTTACTTATTTCCAACGTTTTCATTTCTACATTTTGTATAAGATTTTTTGATGAATGTTATGTTTTACTTTATTTGTTATGCACACGCCCTACAACATTATGGAGTTATGGAAAAATATGATCACTTATCGTGTATATTATTATTCAGTCCGCACTTAAACGAGTAGTTTAACTTTTGCGAAATATTTTAAGATGTCGGAAGTTTTGAATTTTTGAATTTAGTAAGGAAAGAAAGAGTAGGTTGCTGGGATTAGTCTTGTGAGAACTTATGTTTATTTTAGCTTACGTTTAGCATCCTTTAAATGATTATTAGGTAAAAAATATGGGAAAAGATGAAAATCATCTTCGAAACAATATACTGGTTCCAATAACAATTAATGTAGCACCAAAAATGATATCGGAGCTGAGATTCTTTTCACTTAACACTCTATTGTAAATAAAAGTATCAGTGAATGTTATCTGGTAGTTTAGTAAGTAGTACGTGAACAACAACAAAAAGCCTCCTCGTTGAAAAAAAGTATCTTCACGTTTATCCCAAGGAAATAGAAGTAAACATAAAGACATTTTCTTTAACGGTTAAAATTGCTTTTGTAATTCATATCACGTAGCGTTTGCGTTTGGTGTTCAATCAGAGGAGTCACGAAGAAATCACGTAGACCATCGCTTGAAGACTTTGACTTTGATTCTTGATAGAATAAGATGAAGACTGAACCATCGCTCTAGGCTCAAAAAAATAGAATAAAAGATTGTATTATGGTTTCAGATTTCAAAAAAAGACTTCAAAATTAAAGTTCCGCCAAAAATCATTCTGTTGAATGAATGAAAAAAATGTCTAGTAAATGTAATTGTAATTGATGCAATTTGCTTAAGCGAAAAAAATATTTAGAAAAAGGAAGTTGCTAGAGTTCATCATAATTTCCAAAGTGGTCAAGAAACTGAATTTGTTGACATTAGTAAAATGTGAAAGTGAGTTTGTCGGAAGTAAAGGAGTATCGTGGATGTGGATGTCGACATTTTTTTCTTAGCTACCTAACAGACAAACTTTGAGTCAGGTTGGTATGTTAGTCTGTAAAAACAGCAACAAATTTCGCGCATAATTAATTCGTTCAGCTGTAAACAGCTTGTATCATGAACGGTTTCAGGCAAGAAGAAGGAAAAGAATAGAAAGCTCGTCATATAGGTGTGAGTTCATTACATCTCAGAGAAATTCAAGTTAATCTCCTACATTTGTTGGTATTTTTCCTAATTTTACTCAGTGTAGCTGCATAAATGTTTTGTATGACGAAAGGTGAAAGGTCAATTGTCATAAGCGTGCAATCGACTAGTTGTGAGCTAGTTTGTCTGGAAATCTGCTAAATTTTCTCTACCTATGCCATCGAGTAAACAAATGGTCCCACTCATAGTCTCCTGTGTCTGTCACACTATTCAATTTCTGTCCCTGTCATTTATGTGATCTCTTTGTCGCCTCCTTTCGTTATACTATGATTTCAATTAGTTGATTGAATTCGATCAAACAATATCCTGATAGTTATGCTATATATTTCTACAGTTTCTTGATAGGGTACATTATTCAGAAATTCATCACTTCGTATCTAAATTAGCAACTACTTTGTGGTAATTGCTCATTTTAATCAATGCTGTTTAAAAGGCAAGTCTTTCGGTCACTTTATACCGGAAACATTACAAATCTTCTAGAGAATTAATCAGTACCAATCATCGATCTCAGTAGATATGAACGGGCATATTACAGTTCACTGTTCATTAAATTCTTCGATAATTTCCATTAGAAATGAAGCTGTCGTCGACTATTCTCCTTCATGTTTGTAATGTTAATTTGTGAGAAGAAATGCTATTTGAGAGTTGCCTTTATATGCATTACGTTGTCCATGTCGATATAATGCAAGCGTTTTCGATTGATATTTTTGTGAGCGTTCATGTATTCCTTTCATTCCAGGTGTAGGATGAGGTGATGTGTACAGGTCCCGTGGCTTTATCGTCTTTCAAATTAATCAGTAACAGAGGTTGTTTTTTTTTCTTTTTTAAAATAATTATAATAGCGGTAGTTATTTATTGCACTCAATAACTGGAGTTTTGAAATTCTCAGATCTGATCAGTTGTATTATAAGTTTTCAACATCTCAGCTTGATGAAATATTTAATTAAAATAAGAATAATCATTTGACTTGTATTTGTTTTTGGGAGTTAACGTTTTCGGTAATACGTCTATCTTTGTCGGCTATTTTCGCAGTTTATTAAGGAAAAATGTACTTGAAAAGTACAATCTAAATAATTTCTTTTTTTCAGGTGCTTGGTAATGCATTTTATATTTGTCTCACAGTTTCTCTTATATCTCTTAATTTTTTATGTCGACTGTGAAGATTTTTATCATTTGCTTGGAATATCACGGGAGGCTGACAATAGAGCAATCAGAAGAGCATTCAAGAAGCTAGCTTTGGTCAAACATCCAGATAAGAATCCTGTAAGTTTTTTTTCGACTCTTCCAGGATAATTAACAAGAATTATTCGTAACAGAGAAATCAGTATGGCCATCAAATGTACAGTAAAGTGTGCAAGCATAGGAAATTGTGTGGTACTGCAACTGTACAACATCAAAATTGCTGAGTTATGTTTTTAGCTCCTTCAAAAACATTCTGATATTAATATGCTTTATAAGATTATATGAGAGTTACAAAACTTGCATTTAAGACTATTTGCTTGGGATTGCCTGTTTTTTTTTCAAGTGTCCATGGTTTTATCAGTTACTGATGTTTTATCCATACGTATTTTCAGAATGATAACAATGCGCATAAAGAATTCATGAAGCTTTATCGTGCTTATGAAGTGTTAATGGATGAAGAACTGCGGAAAAAATATGATCGATACGGCGAGCAGGGTTTGACCGATGATTATAAGGAAAACCATCAATACCAGTCATGGCAATTCTATAAAGATAACTTTGGTATGTACCTTTGAGCGGTATAAATTTTCATAAATTATTTGCTATTATGCTGTCTTAAGGCAAAAGTTCCAACGTAATGCAACGGATTGTGATAAAAACTCGTGGAAATTTAATGAAAGTGCAGAATTTTTTTGTTTTCTATGGTTTGTGATATATATACTACTCGGAAAATACAGGTATATACGATGAGGACAAGCAAATAATAACACTGTCACGGTCGGATTTTGAAATGATAGTCTCCGAAACGGACGAAATATGGTTCATCAATTTTTATTCCACATTTTGTTCACATTGTCACCAGTTAGCGCCTACAGTAAGTTTCTTTTGTTTGTTTGTTTCTTTCTTTGTAAGATTCGGAGTAATGCAATAATTTTGTAGTGGCGAAAATTTGCTCAAGAAATGGAAGGTGTTCTTCGGATAGGTGCTGTAAATTGTGCTGAAGATCCTATGCTTTGTCATTCACAAGGTGTTATGGGTTATCCAAGTTTGGTAATTTATCCACATGTGAGTTTTCGCACAATATTTTTGATTTTTTATCTTTTGTTTATATGTTATTAGTGTACATATATTCTTAAATTGAGATAGTAATATAAGATGTAAATATATGTTATAGTTTGTCACTACGATATAGATATTTCATGTGAGCACATTACCATACTCTTTTAATCTCTTTTTGCAATAAAGTTGTAATTTACAAAGGATATTTCTTCCTAATCAAGTTTAAGACTACAAAAGAATCGATATAAGAGATAAGGAATTTTTGTTTTTCATCGATCTCTGTGTAATTTAATTAAATTATCCAAATGATAATTACGAGAATTGTAATCAGTCATATGCAATATGTTTTCTTTTTCTTTTTATAGCGACATTTTTTCCATGGAAATCGACAACTGGATCAGATAATAGCATTTGCCATGGAATACGTTACTGGTATGGTACTGCAGTTGACGGATTCTGATATTGACCTATTCAAAATGGAAAAGAATGAGAAAGATACACGTGGATGGTTACTGGATTTTTGTGAACGCCAGAATAGTGATTGCTTATCTGAATTAAACAGGTTTTATATTCTTTAGTTGTGTGAAATTTATGTGTTATTAAAATCTGAAAAGCAATGATTCTTAATTAATAATTCGTCGATACTGGACCAATTTTTCTAACATAAATGATCAAGCTCACTCCAGATTCAGCAATTCTATATTCTCCTTGTCGATAAATCCTCTTTCGTGTGTGGCTGTTTAAAATGATACTTATTTTGTTTTTCATTAGACTTGCTCTTTGAGTTAATGTTCATTTAAAGTGTGATTTTTTTATTTTTGCATTCCTTCATTTAAAAAACTTTTGGTTGGCATTTTCTGTTATTTATCATATAGCAGCAACCAATTTCAACATGATTGAGTATATTTTTTGAACTAAATGTTCATTTAGCGCTGGTGCCGTTTATTACGCACCCAAAATAATCAGTTCGAAAGGTGCTAAGAAGTTTTGCTAAAAAGAACTGATTTTGCGAACTAAACGAGGCATGGATCTACTGAGGTAGATTTAAATTGGCTGCTGTTATATATAAAATGTTCTAAAATAATACAGTAGGTTGTAAATTAAACAGATGTAACATAACTGCACTTTTCTACAATGTTGCTATTTTCCATTTGTTTAATTTGCAATTTATTTCATTAATTTAGACATATCTTTTCTAGAAGAATGAAGTCAAGAAGTCTCTCCGTATTTCAAATGCCTTTTTGAAATGATTTTTTGAGACGAAAAAATAAATCAAAATAAATACTTTCAGAAGAAAACTTGCAGCCAATTTGCATGGTCTTGTAAATGTTGCGAAAGTTAATTGCGACGAATCATTGAAACTTTGCACATTATTTGGTCGCAAAAGTGGTATAGTGTATTTCCGACGTGATGACGGAAGGGAACCTGATAAGGCACGGGTATGCTGCATATATTTTGTGAACCAACGAGTTTCCAGTTCTATTTTTAAATACATTAACTAAACAGATTTTTATGTACGTATACGGTAGCTTGGTGTCATACGTGACAAAACTGTTCAATATCATTAAAATTCTTTTTTTCAGGAAATTAATAGTCTCGATTTTAAGGAAATAGCAGCCATCGTTTTAACATATGTTCCCGATATACCATATATCGATAAATTGCTGGAAAAAATTTTTGAAGGTGAATCCACCCACCAAACTTTTTTCGAACTCCACTTATCAATCTGTTTCTTTTTTACTGTCACGTATTCTGTTTTGCAGTTCAAATCCGCGATCATTCATTTTTGATTAGATTTGGTTCCGGTGAAATAGATAACAATGCAGAACTAAAAAAACTATCTGCGAAATTAAGTGATGAAATTAAGGTAATTTTTTTCAAATGCAAAAAAAAATATCTAAATATGTCATTAAATTTGCTAGAGTATAATGTCGTAACCAAGCATTTCATTATAAAAAGACTTCTATAATCATTGCATCTGAGCTGATGATAAAATAATTGGACTGGAGCTACTATTTTCTGCTCTGTTGGTTTGACTGCAAAAGTTAATCAGATCTAGTGAGTAAAAATTGTTAACGACTAATAATCATCCAAATACGATATTGTTTGGTCCATAATATGTTATGTAGTTTTTCTATCTATACAGATATATTTCGCTGATTGTTCCAAGGCCAAGAATCTATGTGAAAATTTGAAATTGACTAAACTTCCGAAATGGGTTCTTTTCAAAAAACAGGGAAGCTATGAAATATATCACGGTTTGTTTTTATGTAAATAACATTTTTCATTTTTCTTTGATTAGATTGATAAAATTCAACTTAGGCTTAATGCAGATATGAAGTTTAAATGAATAGAATTTAGGATTACAAAATCCTCCTTAGGAATCTCTGAAGTTCTTAAGAACTCTGATTTTAATGCAGGCAAGATGGAAACAGTACATGATATTGCCCTATTTGCTGTAGAAAGCCATTTTTCACCACTTGTTACTCTCACACCCGAAACCTATGCATCTGCTATTGATTCAGGCGATGAATGGCTTATCGATTATTATGCTCCAGTAAGCTATCCATTATCTTTTGTAGATTTATCAATCCTTAACATTTCCTGTTTGTGCTTTTTATTTGCAGTGGTGTCCACCTTGTTTGCGCGTGCTGAAAGAGTTAAGAAGATTGCATAATTATGTGGAGAGTATAAAAATTGGAACTATTGACTGCGTCCAACACAGTGACATTTGCAGGAAAGCGAATACTAACGCGTAAGTTTGTAGGATATTGCTTTTACTGTTTCCCTTTGAATTTCCCATAATGAACAAGATTTTATATACATTTTCAAACTTGCCGTTTTTATAAATTAATGGAGAAAGAAATGGTTATAATGAAAGATATTATTTTGTGCTCTACCACCCTTGAGTTTTGTTGTGTATTTATTCTTCTTTTTCTTAATTTGAAATCATATTTTTGCAGTTACCCAAATATAGTGTGGCACAGTGGTGGTAGGTCTTCTGCGCGTGCAGGCTATTTAGATGTTGCTACAATAGCGGAGTTTATTGAAGTTAGTTCAAAAAATCTGTTGTTGCTTCAAATTCAAGAAAAATTTAAATAATTGATTTTCAACTATAAAATCAATATTCCAAAAATATAATCAGGATGCACGTAATCCATCAGTGATCGATTTATCACCATCAGATTTTAATCCACTGGTTTTGGACAGAAAACAAGGCACTGTTTGGCTAGTTGATTTTTATGCACCGTGGTGTGGTCCTTGTAATCAGGTATGCATTATATCTACAAAGATTAGAAACATTAAGTTTATAATCGAGGAGTTTCTGGTCGCTACAAATTTACGCGAACAATTTTGTTAGTATATATGCTTGGTATTTTCTTGAATAACACAAGCTCAACTTCAAAATTATAGTTAGCACCTGAATATAAGAAGCTTGCTCGAAATATGCGCATGAAAGAATTCGTTCATTTTGGAATGGTAGACTGTGATCAACATCGACAGCTGTGCATGAATTTGGCTATTCAGAGTTATCCAACCATTCGACTCTATTCGTCTGGTTCTCATACCGTGTGAGTATAAACCTCTCATTCTTTTTTTTATTGTTGAAAAAATTGATATATAGATAGCTTAAAATACGACTGTGTGATATTCTCTCTTTATATTATAGTTACGGCTCTTTGTTAACTTATGACTTGTTGAAATGATTTTCCATGTACATATTCTTCTTCTAAAAGTTGTTCATGATTGTAGAGATTATCCTTCAAATTGGTGGCGTGATCACCGGTCCATGGAAGTATGGCTGAGAAATTATTTACCATCGAAAGTTATCAGTATTGGAAATGATTTTTTTGCCAAGGTGTTGGATGATGATAAACCATGGCTGGTCGACTTTTTTGTCACTTGGTGCTCACATTGCATTGAATTTGCTCCTGTTTTTGAGCGCGTTGCAGAGGTACGTTAAAAAACAAAATTTAAACAAGTGCAGAGAATGATGAACAAATTTTCTATCTTCTTTCTATCACTTTTAAATATTCTTCTGCAAGTAAATTGCTAACCGATGTGTGTTTTGTTTCTACTCAATATCTGAAATAATTGACAGTGTAGATTATTATGGAAATCTTTTAAATACTTGACGACTTGAATTTGAGAAAATATTCGTATAATAATTACATGCAGATTATTTTTCATGTATTAATTTGTCAATTTTCGTTCCTATACATTTACTTAGCGAAAGTGCAAATAATGATACTTATTTGTAATTTTTCTTAATTTTCTACTTATAATTTAGCTGTTATTTCCTCTTAATTTCGACTCTTTTACAGATTCTGGAGGATCGTGTGAAACTTGGAAAAGTCGATTGCGGACTTTGGCCAAATATTTGTCAAAGTGTTGGAGTGTCTGTCTATCCTACTGTTCGATTTTATAGTGGCTCACGAAATGGCTATATCCAAACAACCAGTGGAGTTCTTATTGAGTCGCAAGACGGAGATAGTATCGTACGTCAGATTGAAAAAGAGCTGACCAAAACAGACCGCCTTTATAAGACTGAATTGTAATGGATTATTCTCGTTGATTGAATTGCATTTCCCTTTCTTGAATTTTGGTAGATCAATAAAGGATCCATAAATTTCTATTCAATTCCAAAATTTTATTTTCAAGCTTAAGACTATCAGTATGGCCAAGAAAGAGATTAGTGAAAATTAAATTTTATATAAAAAGTTTTATGTTTGAGTATTGACAATGAATATACATATTTGTTAATTTGCATTTTGTTGTTTTGTTCCGTGTGCCTCCATTTCCAACCTTCCTGATATTTGATGTGCTCAATTGCACAAATTTATTACTTTTTGATTTTGGACACTTTGAGCTTTTTTTAAAATTTGTTCATCTTCTTCTGGATAATTTATTTCTTGCAATATGATGTGATCATTTTAATACAATTTCATGTCTTTATATTCTGTTGCATACTTACATATCCTATTAAGAAAGCTCATATGTCCTGTTTTATTTCTTCGTCTCTGTTTTGTAGAATTCACCCTTAAAACTAAGTTCTTATTTAGGCATTTTCTGGTATTTATAAAGCCTAAAAGAATTTCCCACTTCAATTTTTGGTTGACCTCTGCATCTTATATGGATCGTGGGATTTTTGTTTTTGGGAATTTTTTATACATTTTTTTCGATTTTCATACTTTGATGTGCTTTTCTCTCACTTAATTTATTCGCATTTTCATTACATTTTTTATGATCGAATGTTGTTCAAATTTTGATACTTATTTATGAAATTATTTATGAATGAAGATTTTTTTGGTTCATTTTTTAATAATTGACAAGGAGTTGAAGCATGAAAATACGGAACATAACCGGAAAGTGGTTAGAAAAATGAAAAAATGAAAAGACAGCATCAGTTAAAAAATCATTGCAACGAATTTCCAGTTAATTTTGAATGTTTTTTGCTGATCTGGACCGATAATTCATTATTTAATTACTTATGTAGTGGTATTGGAAGATAAGCTAACTTCCACAGTCTATTGTTCATCAGCAATATGATTCGAGAAGTCCATAGACGCTTCTGAACTTGAATTATTTCTGTTTTTTGAATATTAGTAGCCAATCTTAAACAAACATAACTTGGACTTCATAAGTTTACTCTTTCTAATTTACTCTTGCCATTACTGCACCAGTACTTGATTTTCATGAGTCTCAGTCAAGATTTTAATCACCGATAAAAATTTTCAAAAGTAGGACAATATTTCGGCAAAATCATATTGCTTTGTATGTCAGAATTGATAATATTCTCTGCATATTAAGAGTACATTTCAGCTATTAATTAATTGAGATTTAAATTAAAATGAGCGGTCAAATTTCAAATAGCGAAACTAGTGAATTTTACTAGAATATGAATATCAAATAGACTGGATTGTTATAAATTAGTTAATTTAAAAGGCAAAAAGAATTTCTAAAACATTCATTTAAATTCGTTTCAAAAAATTGATGGTAATGAAATTGAGAATGAAAGCTTAGAATATTTGGTTACCGATCATGTCACTTTCTAATCGTGAACTATCAAGTTACTTATACAAACCGATAATCATTCCGTTTCTGATAAATAACTGATTAAAATGCGGCATTTTAAAGGATATTACTACTTTTATAATTTTGGAAATTAGATAAATGTAATTAGAAGGAAATTTAGGAAGCTGAGAAGAGGAATAAATATTATAGTAATATCCTAAACAGAGATACTCTGTCAACGGATGTTTACATAATCTAAACGAATTTTAGATATAACATATTACAATCAAGTATTTAGACTAATGAGTTGATTTCGATGATCCTGAATTTGATATTTTTTTCAAGAGAGAAATTACATTAATATGAAAGAACATATAAAACATAGATTTATTTGTTTGTATACATGCACAAATAATTTAAGAAATATAAAAAGAAAGCTCGCAATAAAAATATAACTCTTTCAGATTTTCACGGAATAATTTTTTTAATAAAAAGTAAAAAATATTGTCGCGAAAGTTGCGAAAACAAAAAATTTTTAAACAAATAAAATTAGGAATGAAATCCATATGGTCTTAACTTTCCATCCAAAGAACTATAAAAGGTTATTCTATTGGATAGTTATAAAATTATATTTTGTTAGTT